ACCCGCGGATGGATCTCATCAGGTCCCATTTTGTATTTTTATATTCGGGATTTGTCCACTGTGTAGATCAATGTAAATTCATTGATCTCCACAGCTTTCCTGCGGACCTACATGATCTCATATGCTTTCTTACATCACCTATGAACTCAGTCCCTGTATTTTAATCTAACTAATTCCAAATATTACATACTAAATGTTTTTAATCATATTTAAGCAAATGCACTTTGTGCATGGCTCCTAACATAAAAAGCTTATGAAACAATATCATTCAAGATGTGATAGTTCATATGCTAGTTTACCCCACATAAATACCACCAACTCATCTTAAAGTAATTTTTGTTAGACAGAACACCACAATGATGAATTTAAAAAAGGACAACACTTGAATGTGTCTGAATAATATTGAAAGACAAAAATCTTTCAATCACCTTAAAGTATATATATTCATATAGATTCTGTGAAATTACATTACAAAGTTGTCCGCATTTTTAGTTATTTACTACAGCAGAGTATTTTGCATAGACTGCAAAGCTAATATGCATTAAGCCAGGTTTGTGAAGCAGGTTACTAAAACGCATTAATGAAAAGTCTAGAGTGTAATATTATTGGTAACATGCATTAATTTCACATTGACATTTAAATATCTTGACTGAAAAAAAAAGTCAATTTTTACTGCAACTTCAACACCTTGTTGAAAAGGCAAAGGCAGAACATGAATACACCATCTCTAAATATATTTTAAGTCCAACAGTAAACATGTCAAATTCACATCACGGTGGAGATGCCGAACACTTGACTAACGGACTAGAAGAAACAGTTCAAGCTTCTACTGAAAGAACTGACTAATGCAATTTAGCTATCAAGATCACGGGCTAAAACTGCTGTCATACCACATTATTTATCATCCCTGTATTACTTAAGTGTTTTGTAGTGGCAGAGGAGTTAAAGGCCATACCTTTGAACTAAAAATTGCAGTAATCTCATTTAAGTCTCTCAGGTTTGCAGCTGTCACCACAGTCTCACGTAAGAAATAACTGCTCTGTGTCACACTTGGGGCTGGCAGCCAATATTATAAGCATTTGCTTATAACTTTGACAATCTGCTTAGCTTGTCATGCCAGCTACTCCTCAAAAAGTTTAGGGACACAAGATTCCACTGCTCCTCAAAATGAGAAACAGGTCTTTCAATGCCAAAAAAAAGTTAAAAAAAAAATGGTTCTGAGAAATCCTATGGCCTCTTTGTGTTGGAGTGAGGATCTGAATTTTGGCCTGAAGTGATGCTTAGGCCATGGACCATGTGTGTATGTTAAAAATACTTGGGGAGAAAAAAAACTTGTACATGCACACAGGCATACAAGACCCAGCCTCTACAGTTTGCTCTACTCCTCCAGCTGTTCACGCTGACAAGATCTTTCATAGATGATTCCTCAGAGCAACCTAAACCACGCGCCAACCCTACACGACTTTGATCCAACAGTACATCTGTTCTGCCCATGAACTAACGAGACAGTTCAAAAGGAAACTAAGATTTTCTCTAATGCTGTACTGGGCTAGAAAGAAGCCCACCACTGTGTCATTAATGACAGTGTCACTGTGCTGTCATTTAAATGCTAAAAGCAAAGACCCCATCTTCCCCGTGCTCTCTACAATCCTCTGCTAGGATATACACAGTGCAAAGCAATAAGCTATTTAAAAAACACAGGAAGTATGAAAAAAAACAATAAATAGAACATAAGCTTTACTCAATACTGGAATGCAGGAAGGTGCAGAGCTAGAAAAAGAGGTGAGAGTGAGAAAGGAAAAGGAAGACTGGGCATGAAGAAGATTGTGGCCAAGCAGACAGCAGAATAAAAGCGAGAACCGGAGTGAGATCAGAATTATGAAGCCAACATCCTGAACTACTCTTATTCTACTGCCAGTGGAAACTCAGTAACAAAGCACATAGTTTTTTTCCTCTCTGATATGTGCAATTCTGCTGCTGTTGTCACGGTTCCTCCTGAACACAAATGGTAGAGCTAAAAGTCACACATCTAAATTCCGTCCCTTCCAAAAACCCATGAGATTATCAATACGGTACTAACAGCATTTCTGCTCCCTCTCCCTCACTCTATTTGTTTGTTTGAAACAAACACAATAAGGGACAAAGTTTACAAAATCAAACATTCAAATATTAAGAAACAACAAAACCAAGGCTGCAGGTGCAATGTTAAGTAACTCAAACTTCTGCATTTGGAGGTTGATACAGATTTTAATTACACCACTGGGCAAGCTCTTTTCCATCAGTTCCTGCTTCACCCAGACAAAACTCAGCTGATATTCTATTGTGCCCTCATTGTTCAATGTACGTCTAAAAGCCTGCTTTACTGCACACCATACAGAATATATATACAAGAAGAAGAAATTTTGAATTTTGGCGTTAACTTTTTTTAATGCTCGCCACTAGCATCTCAGTGCTTCACAAACACTATTTTAAAAGCATGTTCAAAATGCTTCTGTGAAGTGAGGAGGTATTATTATACTTATTTTTAAAATAGAGTAAAGACAATTTGGAACTGGCAATTCTTTGTGTTGGAGTTGCCATATCTCATTAAATCCCAACTTACATCAACAAATAAAATTGCTTCCAGCTTTCTCTTAATCATGTTTACACACAGGTGGCTTGAAATCATCTTTGTCCTGCCTTTCTGATGCCGTGCCGAGCACAAACCAACTGTATTTAAAGCCAATAATCTTAGCTTCAATTGTTAAGACTGACATTAACCTGAAAATTAAGGAGTCATAGTCATACTGTCAAACAATTTGCAAGCCAAAAGCCACTCTCGCCAGTAGTTTTGTAAATAAAAACATTCAGGTACAAAAAAAGTTACATTTTTGCTAACACCAATGCTAATTACAGAAAAAAAGGAAGTAGATGATGAGTTGAGAAATAATGAGGCTTAATGAAATAGAAATAGGTAGTCATTTCTGCTGGGAATACATATTTGTTTTAACATGTGACTCCATTAAAATAAATATTCAAATGTGAGATGGCACTGTACAAAGTCAAAACCTCACCTTTTATTTCTAGGTGTAAGAGAAAAGCATACACTTACCAACATGAATATTATCCTTAAATACAGTCTTTTGGGGTAGAAATATTAAGTGTCGACTAAATTTTTCATCAGTGCTGGAATCTAAATTCAAGACATCTTTGGCTGAACAGTTTACATCATAAAGTTCTTTTAATTTTTGGCTGACAAGCTGAAATTATAAACACCAATTAGGCTATTTTATCTAGCATTTTTAATGGTGGTATCTATAAAACCTAACAGAAGATAGAAGAGAAGATAGTGTTCTAAAAAGGAGTTTTCTAAAAAGAGAAGATAGTGTTCTAAAAACCTGCTGTAATGTCCACCTCTGTCATACTGAATTTGCAGTGGAGCTCATTTTCCAACCAGATTTGTGATAAAATGGAAATTTGCACTGTTTAATAAAAGTGATAATTAGCAAAGATATTGAACTTCAGGTACCAAATTGGTAAGTGCAGTCACCTGATGTTCTCTACATCATCATTTAACTCAACTATAAAGAATTGCCACCTGAAGACACCTAAAATCAGGAGGGATTTATCCAAGCCTTAATATATGACCGCACCAGGTGGCAAAAGAAATGAACTGAGGAATATCTGAACGGAACTTTTATTGATGCTACTCTGTAGAATTTCTAAATATTCCTTCAGTTTTACAGCTTCAAAGTGGCAGAGCACATAAAACAATCTGCAAAAGCAAACACTGTATCAGTAAACCTACAGCGAATACAAGCATTCCAACAACCATCATTCTCTCTTTTTTCCTTTCACTTAAAGGAGAGAACCTCTGCTTTAATTAAAACACTACTTTTTACTTCATTAAAAATAACCATTAGGTTTACAATTATTTTTCATTTTACTAGAGAATAATCAAGATAAAGTCGTAAATACTTTGATTTCATATTAAATCACCAACAAATTCATATGAATCTACAACATGACTTTGCTTCAGTTTACCTCAATTAACTTTGCAACCATATTCTTGCCATCTGCACCAGGATTTGCTGGTTTGTAGAACTCCAAATCAAAGTAGAGTTTACAAGGATATTTTTCAGGAATTACTTCATAGCAATGCATAAGACTTGTTTTATAACCTTTGCTAAGGAAAAACAAAAACAAATCACAACCTTTCACAATAAACATTTTACACACTTATCAGTTATACACAAGGATCCCACAAGTCCTAAATATTCTTTTATTTTTCAATCAACTATCTATATTAAAAAAAGTAGCGACCCTATAATGCTTTGAAAAATTTTAACTCACTTCATCATCAAATCAACAAAGATATCCATCTGGCCTAGAATTTAAGTTCATAAAGCATTCTCCTCCTCATTTCCCCCAAGTCTTACAATACATACTCTCAACAGAAATGCTGTTGAAAATTTAAGGAATAATGGAAACTACAGTAAAAAACTTAGTAAGTTATCACTCATGTCTTAAGCACTAAAAATGAGATTACACAGACTTTTTTTCCAACTAATCTAAATATTAATCTCATTTTCAAATTGAGAAAAAAATCAAGCTTACTTTTCATATAAAAATTGACTTTTAGATTTCTTTTACTTCATAACCAAATGTTTTATTGTAAAACAAAAAATTGGGAAAAAAAGTTCAGCACACGATCAAACTGTCAATACTTGAAACTTCATCACGCAAATACAAACCCATAAATCGGCAACTGTAGATTTATATAATGCACATTTAAATCAATATATGACTAATCATAGAAATGTTTTTGTGTCATGCGTTGGTATGATCTCCTGAGGAAAGCTGACAGCAAAAGCAAATCTACTGCTAGATTTAAGTTCAGTAGATGGGGTCCTTTAATTCCCAGGAAATAATGTCAGTCTGCAACTCAAAAGAAAGTTGAAACCCACTATAGAATAGATTGGTTTGTCCTTATGAATACTTTCCCCATGGCCCAGATCAAACCTCAGGCCACCCATTACAGCTCTGTGCTAGTCAGAGCAGCAAATGGCTACTATGGATAGCTATCCTGTAATAGCTATTACCAGATAACGTTATATCCAGTATACTACTATCTTATAGTAACATATAGGGTACCTTTTCAAATACTCACGCGTAATAAAACCAAAGCTCTTTATATGTTGTCACAAGGTAAAACCTCTGTCCACTTTCTGTGTTCTTTTCCAAGGCAAATACATGAACATCCTTTTAAAATAAAAACACTGAAGTGTTTTTATTCAAAGAACCAGTTAAAGTCCTCAGAAGTTCCTATTTGACATCAATTTCTTTGGTCAAAGTTTAGTAAATATTAGAAAACTATGAAGTAGATCACTTATCCTTTTTCAACCCAAGTAGCATCTGGTTTTGATTAAGAACATCATTCCGATATGAGTTACATGAGTAAAAACCTGGAGCTTTTCTTTGCTGTGCATTAATGTAAACTCTGTTTTCTTTGTAAAGTCATCTTTTTCCTGACCAGTGGCAAGTGCATCTAATGGGAGTAGGAAGAATGTCCTGAAAGGAACAGTCTTATGGATATGATGGCAGCATATGGCTTTATAGCAAATATTCTTTACACTCTACATTATTTCAATCCAAAAACGGAAATCTGAAAAGCGAACAAACAAAAAAAACCCACTGCCAAGCCAGTTAGTGTGTATTTTTGAAAACAGACTGTCAGCATTACTTAAACACCTAAAAAGTGGGAAGAAACCCTGGTACTTTCTCTAAAAGCAGCAATCAATTTGAAAAGAATTAAATGTAGAGAACTGAAAACAGAGGACACGTTTTGCTTAAGATTTATTTGGCTCATCTGCTCTTATCATCTGAACTTGCTACTCTGATGCCATTGAAGAGTTGTATTGTTTTTATTTTGTCTCTGTGTCCTCTTTATCTCTTCTTCTTCCTCTGTTTTTTGCTCCTTTTTCTTCCTACTCAACTCTCACTACCTTCCCATTCTCCTGCCAAACTTGACAGCTTCCTTATCTTCAGAAGGAACAAATCTATCACTACAATGTTACCACAAAGCACTTTTACTGTTAGAGATTAACACCACATATCAATTTGGACATTACAACTAGTACTCCTTAGAGCTACCTCCAGTGTAGATGATCTCCTACAATGACAAAAAAAAAACCACACTAAACTTGCTGTTTTGGGACTGGGAAGAAAAAAAGAAAAAAGAAAAAAAAATCTTGGAATCCGATAAAGACTTTACTGTCAACCAAGCTTTTAAGTTAAGTTCAACCTTGAAAGTATCTAAAGAGTAGATATATTCACCTAACAAATAATTTACCTCTTTGCAGGTTTTTACATAATTAAAAGCTTCAGCCTGACGACAAAATATTTTCCAAACCGAGGATGGCAGAAAAGGTTTGGACAGTCTTGGTCTATATACTGGAGGGAGAGGGTTTCTTTCATAGTGAGATGCTAGTTCTTCCACTTTCTTCAGTCTTTCTTCCCATTTTCTCTTCATTTGTCCTAAAGCAATTACAAACAGACAAATCAGTATTAAATTCTGTTTGTGACTCACTTTCAATATATCCTGTACTCACCACTGCTTTTGATTCCAGTTTTGTTAAGCATATTTTATTTATTAACTGAGAGTAGCCAATATTCTAAATCAACACCCAGCCTTGCTATGATACTCATTTTAACATTAAATCTTTCCACACAGATTTGGAAGTAAAAGGTCTTCATATTAATACTATCAAAGATAAATACAACAGAATAGACACAATAAGGGAAGGCCTAAGAAGTTTCTTTTTTTTTTTTTACAGAATGGTATTACATTCCTCCTCAAAAAGTATACAAACTGTGTCAATCAGCCACACAACATTAGTAAGGAGTGAAAAAATACTATTATTTCTGCTTTATGGCTCGAGAGACAAAGGAGATAATTCATTTGTGCGGGTAGTATAGCATTTGAGTTCCTGAGAAAAATTAAGATTTCAGTGTGACTCTACCTCTGAGCTCTGTATCTCAAAGTAAAAGAATTGAAAACCAAAAAGAGGGCTCCATTCTTGACTGTCAACTTTGCTATCAACCAGTAACGTTTTCGCCTGCTTTAAAATCTCATGTGTTTTCTTGCAAACTTAGGATAGCAATCTTATCTCTTTTCAAGAAATAGCACATCATGCAGTAATGCTTGTTATCTTGCAACCTTTACACTTCTGGTCACATAAAGTAATCCAAATGCTACAAAGCAATGTAGTAAAGCATAAACACACATTAGCATATGTATAATTACTTGTAAGTTCAATTAATTTTTTTTCTGGGAAAATTCATTGACCCTCTGAAAACCTGCAAATTGGTAAAGAGGATTACTAAGAAACTGAGACAGAGGAAGAAGGGCAAGAAGTAAAAAAAGATGAAGGTGCATCTTTTTTTTCTGCCCAGCATAAGGACTTACCAACCCTTGATTCTCAAAACAATGCCCCAGTTGCAATGAAAGATAAAACCAAAACTGACTATACTCAAAAGTATTCAAACCTTTAACAAGCTGGATCCACTAGGTGAATTTAAGAATTTAAACATTCTTACAGGCCTCGGAGCCCAAATTTTAGATCCTCTGAATCCCCCTCCAAGTCTTCCATAGTAAAGGTTCCTGAACCCCTACATTTCTGCCTGTGGTACATCTAAGCCTGCTTGTGTTTTGAGAGTTTAGTGCCCATGTCAAGTCTAAATAACAGAATGTTTTTTCTCTTACAGGGGTCAGATAAATGATCTCTATTGACCTTGTCAGGCTGCTGACCTGTGAGTTTCCTCCACTCCCCTCCTTTACTTGCAATTAGTTTCTTTTTTGAGAATGAAAAATTAAATTACAGACAGCAATCAGCATTTCTCAGAAGTGCTAGCAGAACCCTCAGTTTCATTTTGATGCTGTGAACTCTGCTGTAAATTAATTGGCTGCAAAAGACATTCCCTACATCAGCTCCTTCCCACAAGGTGACCATTAAAAAGAAGTGAAGGGCAATTCCCACAATTCTCTACTCATTTGAAACTTCCTAATTTTTGGAGAAACACAGCTGGGAGGATACCTGAACCTGGGAGAAGCCTGATGACCCTTACTATGAACTGAGATCTGTCACTGTTGGATTCCCAGCAGCGCAACATGTTGGGTCTTTTCAAGGTAACTTTAGTTCCTGTATCAACTACGCCTAACACATCTATTTAGAGCATGTACGATTTACACCTACAGACAAGGCATAAGTACAGACTAGCCTTCTGAGTTTACTGGGAAATTCCCACTTCATTGTCCTCTCTTCTGTCCCACCAAAAGTAAGGGGTGTACTTACTTTTACTTTACTTGTCAGAAAGAAATTTCATCACCAACATGTTAGGACATCAGTGGTTTTGACTCAGCAGGATGACTGCATGAAGCCTCTGGAGAAAAAAATGTATCTCCTGGGAGATGACTTAAAGAACTTGCTATTTTATTGCCCCACTTTGATGGAAAACTATTTCTGTTTTAGTGATGAGGACAGTGGACATCTTAACTTTCTTATACCTTAGATGGTTGGTGTGTTTTTTTTTTAAAGAAACAGACATAGCATTTCAGAAATGGCAATTTTCTCCCTTGCACTACAGGGGAAAGACAAACAAATGCATGACTTCATCATGTGTGTCCCTATACTTTTGTTTAAAAAAAAAAAAGGTACTCAAAAATCTCTAATGGTTATGGACAAAACACGTTATCCACACCTGCTGAGCAACGAAGCTTAGACGTACAAATCAACCACGGCTCAAAATAACGTGATTACATTGGTTTCCTGGCTGGTGTGTATCATGCAGTACAGGTCTCTGGCAGAACTCACGCTCCCCAACACCAATAAATCCATGATATTTTCTTCCAGCTACTGATTCCGCCTTGAATAACTTATTAAATAACCTTCTCCCTAGTGCCACATTTCTTAATGTTAGCAAAAACTAGTTGAGCTGAACTCACTGACAAAGACTACTCATCTTCCCTCAACAAAACCAAGGAGCGCGAAATCTTCGTCTTGCGCTCCTACTAGAAGTAGCATCTGCAATTAAGATTCGAGGAACTTGAGGAATTCTGTACAAAATGCAGGACATTAGACCTGGTGGCAAGACCTCAAAAAGTAGGCTGGGTGCCTGTACTGAGGAGCTGGAAAACTTAGTTTCTAATGTTAAACTTACTCTGATTCCTGCTACCCAAAGTCAACGTACAAATATGAACGCAACGGACCTGAAAGTTGACGATGAAGCCCTTGGGGCTTCAGAGAGCTGCTGAGCAAAGCGGAACGGGACGTTAGCAGGAAGGTCTGTTCGTGCAACACCTGTTGACCGGTTGTACCATTTCCAAGCTTTCTTCACGCAGCGGTGGGAGATAAACCCCGCTCTGACGCAGTGGGGTACATCC